TTTAAAAAAGGCATTTGCTTTTATATCAATTTTATATTGTATTGACTTTTTTAAGGTATTTTTTATAGAAATAGATGCATCAAACTTTGCCTTAAATGTAGTATTATTATAAATGAGAGTAGATAAAAAACTCCATTTAGTAGCTTTTTATTCCAAATTTTTTTTAGAGATCAAAATTAATTATGAAATCTACCACAAAGAGCTCCTTGCAATCGTGGATTCTTTTTAAGAATGACATCATTATTTAGTAGGTGCCATGAGTCTAGTCACCATGTATACAAATTACAAGAATCTCAAGTATTTCATATTAACATGTATTATAAATTGTTTCCAAGCTCATTGGAGCATGTCTTTATGAAGATTTGATTTCAAGATCACTTATCGATTCAAAAAACAATAAGATTTATTGAACATCTTTTCTAGACGTTCTTAATTTATGCCAAGAAAAGAAGTTGCATCTTTTGATCAGTAAAGAATAATTTTCTTGAAGTTGAAATATTTTCATCTTTGAGCAACAAAATCAATATTAATCATTGATTCAACGTTTGTCAAGTAAATTCAATCAAGTATGTCCTCTGATCATCTTATCTATGATATCAAGCATAATTCTTCTAAGTCTCATGATACTTTTAAGTTCAATTTTAAGAACAACCTATTCTATTTCAAGGGACAATTATACATTCCAAAAGGTGGGACATAATTACGTATTCTTCAAACTTAACATGACTTTCCAACAGCTGGATATGTTGGATACAACAAGACTTCGGAGCTAGTATCAAGAGATTTTTCATACTCTTATATGTAAAAGGCAATCAAAGACTTTGTACAATCATAAGACATTTGCTCAAGATTCAAAATTTCTTGCCATCGATCTTATAGACTTCTTTAGCCTTTACATATTTCAAAACAATTATGGTTTTTTTTTTTTTTTTTTTTTTTTTTTTTGGACTTTATTACGGATCTTCCAATCTCAAGTTCACATGATTCTATATTTGTGGTATTACATTATTTTATCAAGATGGCATATTTTATACCATGTACAAAATCTATCACAAGTGAAGAAATTTCTAAGTTTTTTCTTAACAACATTTATTGCTATCACGGATTACCTAAAGATATTATATTAGAGAAGGGGACTCAATTTATATTTAGAGTTTGGAGAATTCTTTTTAAAATTTTAAATATAGATATAAAGCTTTCTTTGACTTTTCATCCACAAACTGATGGGCAAACAAAATATAAGAATCAAGTTTTGGAATAGTATTTGAGGTATACCATCAACTATCATCAAGATGATTGGACAACTCTTTTATCATTAGAAAAGTTTGCATATAATAATTTGGTACGTTCTTCTACTCAATAAACACCTTTTTTTTGCCAATTATGGTTATTATCCACGTCTTGATACTTTTGAATTTTTAAAATTTAATAATTTTGTAGTGGAAGATTTAGCAAAATATTTGTCAGAGCTACATGCAACAATGAAGGCACAATGAAAAGGAGCTCAAGAACAAAACGAAAGTAATGCAGATGTATATTACAAAGAATAATCATAATTCAATGTACATGACAAAATATGGTTACTTTGTCACAATAATAAGACTACTCGTCTTTGTGATAAGTTGGATTATCATTCGCTTGGATCTTTTTTTATTAGTAGATAAGTCAATCTTGTTGCTTATCAATTATATCTATTGGAGTCTATAAAGATCCACCTCATATTTCACTTGTCTTTTTTTGAGCCATATAAGACAGTGAATATCTCAAGAAGAAGACAAATACTACCTCCTCCTATAGAAGTAGATAATAATCAAGAGTTCAAGGTGGAAGAAGTCTTAGATTCAAAGCGGCACCAAAATAGGTTTAAATATCTTGTTTATTGGCATAGATATGATATTAATATACGCTAATGGGAGCAAGCAAATAGAATTGAAGCTTTTCATTGACAACATCCATCAAAATCAAGATGAAGAATAGCAAATCTTTATTATAAAAGCAACAAGATCAAAAGAAGATAATATTCTACCTTTTATTTGTCTTTATAGCTTTTGTATATCTATGATGCTAAGAAGTAGCAACCAACACATTCAATTCAAGAACTTTCATTTGCGGACTTATTAAATGAGATATTATAATTATTATAACCTTCAAGATGTCAAAATCGACATGAAGATTCTCAAGAATGACATGTCTTTTCTCAAATAGATGGCAAGATACAATGTATTTGGTATCATGACCTTTGAAGAAACTCCCAATGTTTGGTGATTTTATTAGAGGTAGGAACAACTCTTCACGGTATTCCAAATGTTTTATTTGAAAGAAGTTACGAAGGCTTCAACAACGATCAAATAATATGGATCTTCTCTCTCTAGTATGGGACACTATTGATGGCTAAAAAGATCTATCAACTATATTCAAAGAGAACAAAGATCAGAGCATGTCGCAAATACAATTTGTTGCATCTTGGATTTCTTCAAGATATGAAGATTGCTCCTCATGGAACTTATTTTTAAAAGAGGAGATAATATCATGGATATAAATAGATATTTTAATAAATACCTATATGATCAGATAGAAATAAATAAAAATAGATAAAAATAGATTAATTTCATAATACCGTCTAATGAAGCTTCATAGACGTTGCTTTGACTTTACATGTATTTGTAATTGATTAGTAGATTAGAAACTTAATCAACAAGTTAACCACGTGTTGGTAGCTTTCTCAACAAGTTCACTATGTGGTGCACATATAGAAAAATTTCCTTGCAAGTTAAGATATGTGTCTTACAAAGTCAACATCTTTTAGAGGTCTTATAGGACATCACCACATAGTTCCTTGTTAAGAGTGTATATAGAGGCAAGAGTGAAGCCTTCTTCATTTTTTTCAATGCCTTTTTAGTCCTTAGTCTTATTTCAAGATTTCCTAGTCTTCTTATCTTTGGCAATAGCTATTATAGTTCAATAATATATCATCTTTGAGTAACTCTCCAATTTTTTTCAGTATCACAAGAGTGTATTGAGGATTTCTTTCTTTGAGATTCATGTCCTTGATATAAAATCTTTAAAAATCCTAATAAAATTCTAATAAAACCTTAAAGAAAGATTAATCAAATCATAATCAAATCATATTCAAATCTTCATCAAATCATAATCAAAACCTAATCAAATTTTAATAAATTTTATATCAGTTTTAAAATTTTAATATCTAATAATTTAGGAGCTGATCTTTATTCATAATTTTTATACTTTTTAATTTCATAGTTCAAAATAAATACAGAAAATTTGAAGAAGATTGAATTTACAAATTGAAAGAAATAAATTTTAATATATTTAGATGTCAATCAGTTTTTTTCTTCAATATTGATGGCAATCTTCTAATATTAATATTATTTTTCTTTCAATGTTTAGTTATTTTCAAATTTTTCATACTTATTTTAAATTAAATTTTCTACTAGTCAATGAAAAAATTACCTAAATCCAACTAAAAAATTATTCTAAATCTTATCCAATAAAATTTTAATTTATAAATATATATATATATACATATATATATTTCAATAGTTAAATCAAATTTTATTGAAATTCAATGGATTAAGATTTTGGAAATTGGATTTTAAAAGCAAATAAGTTTTTCTAAGATACAACTATATTTACAAATTTATACAAATTGCAACAAAAAGCATAGACAATGCTATTCACAAGTAGCACTTTCTAATTAGTGAGCATAGTCTTTCTATTCAAGAAGTAACAAAAGAAAGAAGATGAAGATGAAATTGGCACTAAGGTCTACCAGCATTTCCATTCGTTGTGGCAAAATTTCTACAAATAATGGTAGTGTAATCTATAAGCTTAGTTGGCAATCATTGCAATATTGATAGATTAAGAAGAAGGGAAGGTGGATATCTTTAACCTACACATACAATTGTAGTAATTGTGTGGTGAATAGTTATAGATTCTACTTTGTAGAGATTTCTCTTCCACATGATTTTATAATTTAAGAGTCTAGTTTGAAAGATGGAGGTATTGTGATTCCCTTGACATCATTTGTATATATCTAGTTGTTATCAAGTGTTTTGGAATGTGGTGCAAAACATACAAGCTTGCAAATGGGTGGATCTATGCTTCACTAATTTTTGTATAGATTATTTATTTATAGCTTTGAATTCTATTCTTAGAGCAACTTAATTATTCTTTGTAAAACTTATTCTTAAAAAAAGAGATAATATAATAAATACCTATCCTATTTAAATAAATAGAAATAAGTGAAATTCAATAGAAATACATTAAATAAGAAAATGCCTACTTCAAAAAACATCAAAGAGCTTCTTAGATATAACTTTTGTATATATATATATATATATATATACTTTAAGATATGTCATGTGACTAAAAATTTATAGAAAAAAATTGTATCTTATTCCATCATCATACCATTGTTGTTTATATTTTCTACAAATTTAAAATGAAGACTTTGGTCTTGTTCTTTTGTATCTTGTATTTAGAATTGCTGCAACTCCTTCTCAAATAAATACAAGTTGAATTTACCCTTTTCAAATATCAAAATGCTATGCTATGCTCCTACCATATCAAAATAAGTAAATTTTGCACAGTGCCTATTTATAGACAAATTGGATTCAGCAAAATAAAACCATCTTTTAACTGATTGACTCGACCCATGACAAAGTAACCACACCATTTGGTCCAAATTCTTTAAATATGTCAGACTTAATTGATCGAGGACTTTGATAGGAGTGGTATATAAATAAACAAATAGACTCAGAAGAAATATAATCACTCGCTCAGTTTGCTGGCATGTGGCCTAAGAACAGTCTGTTCTACACCAGAAATATAATGGAAAGCCAAGCCTCAGTTATTCCACAAACTAGAATACTAATTCTCTTCTGTGAGCCAATTACAGTATCTCTTGACCCGCCTGTAGCTCTTCTTCATGGCAAAGAGGTAATCACGTTCAGATTCATACAATTAAACGAGAAAAGGAATAAAAGTGTATATAAATATATTTATACAAATATAATTGTCTTAATGACATTCTAAAACTACAAATTCTTCGAATGTCTAACGGTCGACTTTCCTTAGCACTCGTGCTCCTGCTTCGAATTAGTTTGCTTAAGTTTCTTACGCGGACAAGTCTCTCTCCAATCGGGTGCTAAGGATAAGGGTGTTGGACAAGTAGTCCATTGCAAGATAGACACTTCCACGACATGTAAACTACAAGCTAGACCATTAGCAGGTCCAGAGACCCTTATGCACATAGAAGGACACGAGTTGCAACTTTCCTCAAACCTTAATCGGCACACCAACCATTGAAGGTTTACATTATGAACAGAGTACAGGCACCACGGAGGACTTCTGTAAGCAGAACTTAAACTGAACAAATCAACATAACACAATAGAATAACATCTCCAAAATTGATTAAGTGGAAGTAACCTAGTAGACATGCCACTCTGACTAACAAATTTCACACTCTGACTGCTGTGAATAGGTCTCCAGGGCAACAGCCAAGGCGCGGTAATAGGAGCTTAACAGATATATCGTCTCCCCATCAAAACCAACATTCTGTTGGGTATGAGCGTTTGCTGCAATACTAAATTGGCGGCGTAGCAAGCTACAGCAATGCATGGGCTGGACATTTTCATCAAAACTTATAGCAATCGATTAAACGAGAGGTCTTGCATATAGTTTCCTACTTGGCTTTTGCGGCCTGGGCGGCCTGAATAGCTTGTATACGCTGTTGCGTCTTCATTACCTAACACAATTCACAGTAATTAGCGACGTCAGACTCGTCACGAAAAATATGATGACGAGATTTACCGACAGTAGAGCAAGAGTCGTCCTTGCACTCCTTCAAAACAAAAAAAGCTACTATGCAAGTGAATACAGTAGTTCCAAGAGGCAGTCTAGTCGACCGAGTAGCGAACAGCTAAGTGGGCAACTAACCTCGTCTCGCTTAGCCATTTGTTGCTCTTCCATTGTCTTCAATGTAGCATCCATACGTTTCCTGTCAAATGCGGCATTATTTCCGATATCAATACCATAAAAAAACAAACATGGACACTGTACGACAACATGCACGCAACAGAGACTACTTGATAACTTAAACGAGTCCAAAAAATGCACTGAATGACTACTACGAGAAATTGGCAAAGATTAAATAAATAAATAAATAAAGTAAAATAAAAACTTACAATTCAGCAGTAATGTAATCAAGCCGTTTATTGACATTAGCTTTCGCTTCAGCCAAGTCTTGCTTCACCAAAACAGGGCCAATCAGCTTATACACATTCGCGTCATCTTCCAAAAGTTCCAGCTCCTGCAAGAGCACATCGACGCTTGACTATCAGCACCTCCGACTGCTCAGGCTCAAATACAATCTCAAAAATTCACCGAAGTAGTTCACTTTATGCTAACATGTCATAGTCATACAAGAACTAACCTTCTGCACCATTTCGTTCTCCCCATGCTGTACAGTGTACTGACGTCTTACTTGATGGTTCTTACCTATATCTGTAAGAAAATCCCACTACCGACAAGTAAGATTATGTAACATACAAGATGGACCACAATAGAAGTATGAGCAGAGTAATTAATAAATCAATATTATCCATCGTAGCAACCAGCATGCACCCCCCAACACCGCCGATCAGACCTATTCTGGTTATCGTCTACAAGTAATGGACACTTGGTCGCCCTAATTACAACGAAGAGAAGAGATTGGGATTTTTTTTTTTTTTTTTTTTTTTTTAAAGAAAAAAATAAAGAATACTCTTCTCTACAAGTAGAAAAACCCTAAAATGGCGACAACGGCTTTTGTGGAGCTAGTTCGTTCTAAATGAACCATACAAGATCACCTCCACAGCAAAAAACCACAAGTAAAGAACTCGAGCCGAGATAGGACCGACCATCCGATGCAAACAGATCACACCAAGATGTAGCTGAAAACCTTTTTGGATTTTATTCAATGAGGCGGCTTGGTTTTCCAGCTGCGCTTGCAGTTCTTTCAATGCCGACGCCATCGCGAAAATCCTCTTCCTCGTAAAACCCTACAATGTGCCCACACTACCCTAAACCATAGTCTAATGAGTCCAACGAAAGCACGCTTCGCATTCAAAACTGCGACCTCAAAAAACTTCACCCACAAGCAGAAGATCTCTCAATGAGCAGCTCCAAAGACATCAACGAACGCCAAGTCACTTGGCGCAGTCAAGCGCTTTCAACCCGAGATTGAGCAGAAAATCGACAGCTTAGCTCACCTCTCCGAATGAACTTCCTCAGCCAAACCACATCGAAACACCAACTCCAAGTCCGGAAGCCCTCCTTCAATGTCCTAATGTAAAATAAATAAATAAAACACGGGGTCGGTACGAAAGCAGCATCGGGTTGGTTTTATACCACGTCGTCTGTTTCTCGTCGAATTTGTGTGATGTGGCATGACAACTGGGTATGTGTCCTCAGGAGACCTGTTGGTGATTCAATTCACAATGAAAATAGTTGGAAATGCTGTGAAAAATCTGCATGTGTGCTTGAGTTTGGAAATTAATCTCCTGGAATATAGTTTCCACTTTATTACTTTCCTACCTTCTTTTTTCTAGTTTTTTTTCTTTTTGTGTTAACTTGAGTTAGCGACGTACCAATATCTTGCTTCTCAGTAATTCAATCGTTTATTACGCGAATACTTTTTCTGTATTGCTTTCATTTTCTTCATTACAAAGAGCCACTTAAGCAAATCGGGTTTTATTCATTTGTTTAATATGGGATCAAATTTTGTTAAAGATACTTGTGTTTTGTAATGATTTGCTTAAGAGTAAGATGAAAGTAGATGTTTTGGTGCAAGGTTATTCTTTGAAATGGGAATTCAGAGTGTTCAATCTGAAGTACTGTTTAAATGCTTTATTGGTCATGGACAAATTCTGCCACATTTCAATACCTTTGATGATCATTAAAAGCATCATACGTGGTTTATGTGCAACTTGAGTTTCAACTCTTGGGGATTCAATTGTAAGCCTCTTAGATTCATTGAAATCATCTCAACGAGCATCTAAAGTAAATGGAGCATTTTCGAAGCATTTCAATGTAGCAGGTCTACTTAGGATAAAATGTTGTTCACACAATACTCTTTGAAATTTCCTTTCATATACAAAAGCTTTAATGTACCCGTCAGAATGTTGTAGAGATACTTGTTTAAAATCGTGTGTGGGAGAGAGTGTGTGTGTATCACAAACCTGAACACCCGCGAACTCATCTTGGTATTATGAACCACATCTACCACACCTAATGGTCCATGGCTACACTAGTTTCTCCTACCTCAAATCTAGTTCTCTTGTGTGTAAATACAAGCCATATTTCTTGAACAGGCTCTCATCCATAAGCTCTGGTTAAATGTTTCAGTTTATTGAATTGTCACTAAAAAATTGAAGATACTAATACTGTGTCAATGACAATCTATGCAAGGATAAATTGCAAAGAGCTCCGAAGGCCCAAATCAGGCTCTGTGCCTGAGCTTCAGGAGTTGTTATGGGAGCACAATAACGTCAGCCGTTCAAGAAAAAAGACAACCAAATGAGAAAGCAGCTCCCATACTCCTGATCATGTGTGAGTCGCAGTTGCAATTCGTAATCGCAGCCCAGGCTCACACAGCATAATTTTACCGATTCGAGACAACATGCATTGGAAGGCACGCGCGCACAATCCTTGCTCAGATGGTGGTGTCGTTTCTGGTGCTCACTTGCTTAAACTGTACTCATGATAATATCACTCGATGCTGTCCGTGGCATACAATCACAGAGTTGGATTACACAGTTGCGTGAGATAGATAATGATTCTTCGTGTCCACTGAAGAATGGTGGACCGTCCTAACATTGCTCAATTTACTCTAAGTGTTGTTATCATGGCTAAATCATATGTCCATGGCGCAGAGTCAAAAGAGAATAGCAAGTTCATCCTAACCGATCATTAACTGCTCTAAAAACAGATGGACATGGCGAAAAGTGGATCAAACTGAAAATAGAAGCTTACGCATCCATAGTCCTGAATAAGCAGGAATCCAAACTCGCTCACCATTCAATCACCGACTTCAATGATGAAATAATTCTGCATCAGCTCCTGAGAATGAGTAGGGTCCAAACCCTCAGTCCTGCAGTCATCCAGAACATAAGCTTTAGATGCAATCTATAGATTGTCTATAATCATACAGCTGCTCCACTGCGCCAACCACCTCCATCCTCCAACAACTATGTCGATACTTCACTTTTCACGTATCCCGCCACTGCTAATCTCCCAACATGGATTTCTTCTCCGGACTGTCACAACTGCACCATGTAAACCAACTCAATCACACCAAATCCCGACCACGTGCTTACAACACACATCACCATCCAAAACAAATAACCTCGCTACACGCCATTCAACGCACATTCAATTACTACCTCACTCGGTATTCTATTCCTTTCCTGGACAACCACCCAACTCAAATCAAACGCACTCTTCACGTTCCTACATCACCCACCCGTACCACTAGTTCGGAACTCTCATGTCAAATTCAACTACTCTAAATATAAAAATCCAATCCCACACAAATTCATCACCCAATCCACCACACACACAGGACATCCTTAACACACCACAACACCACCCTGCGGAATCATCGCTTACAAACACTGTCCATCCAAACACTCACTCCTCACTCCATTACATACCACAAGCTTCCAACACATACTCGCGATGTTTCACTTGTTGCTAACCCTGCACGGACCGTTTCTTCGCACGATCCTCATCACTTGCGTTCACAATCCCAACCACTGACAGCGTGCACCACACTCATCTCCCTTCCATTGTCATACCATACCCATCCATGCTCCGCCGCTGCTCCTCAAAAATATCCTCCCGTTTTCAGCACCTCAATTGGATTCAAAATCCTCGTCTCCAGTTTATAACACCTAACAGCACCCACCCCACCATGAGCCGCCAAGAACGAAAAAATTGATGACAGCCTCTCTTTCCAATTGCAGAAGCACAGGGTAATTACTCACCCCAGTTGCCATTCAGAATCCAGAACAAGCATACAATCGTCACATTTGCCAATGTACGGCTCAACAACCAAGTCACCATTATGCTCACTCATCAAACCAAAATAGAACCGCGTAATCAACAATCCAATTCCTGCACCATCCACTTCAGAAATAAAATAAATAAATAAACTCCCATGACTACCCTACTTTCCTAGTATTACGTGTTTTAATGAAAAATTATCACATCATCATCCACCATCATAACCTAACCTCGATCGTTCACGATCACCCATACATTACCGACATCGAGTAATAATACTCACAAAACCAACCAAACCTACTGCCTAAAGCTAAGTCACGGGACACATTATCATGGGCGTCAAGACCGTTCATAAAAACAACCACACTTCATAATATATCCCTTCAACCAACTTTCTACAAAGTCCTCATAAATTCCACTGCTCTATGCATATGTTATACAGGTGAAACACAACAGCGGATCATCAAAGCAAGTTACTGCAGCACGAGTTTCACCTATTATTTCCAGCGGCTGCCACCACGACTGCGATGCATTTCCAATATTTGTCCAAGGTGGACTGATTTCCACCCGTCACCAGTCTGAGCAAGTATGCTTTGCTTAGCATTGTCTATGACCACACTCACAGCACCAAAACTGTATACTTGAAGACCCTCGTGCATACGCCCTGGTTTGGGCATAAACTGGACATCGTTTTCTTGGGCAAAAGCTTCAGTCACTTCTTTCAAAGTCATTTCTGGAGAATCACTCTCGTCCATATGAACAGCATGTTGTTTTGGTGGTTGTACGGAAGGGGCACTATGAACTTGTTGAGATATGTTATGAAGCCTGTGTTCTGCAGCTCGAAGATATGTCAGTTTATCCCGTACAGCCTGTGGGATGCTTGGTGTCGCCTCAATACCCTGATTAATCAAATCAAGTGCTATGCTGAGCTGGTGTCGTATCTTATCGTTAGCCAAAAGTTCGGTCGGCAGCAAAGACTTCCAACCCACAAACCAAGCAGTAACTTCATCATAATCCGGACGAGCGCTTAGCCAGTGAAGTAAGACTTGGTGCCACTTTGGAAAGAAGTTTACTTCCAAAAGATTAATCATGTGATGCGAAGGTACAGCCGAAACCCATGCCATAACCCAGTGAAACTGATCTAGAATTTGGTTGGCAGGATTTATCACAAACTCCTGCATTGCCTGGATAAGCTTGGGCATTATCGAACGCAAAATTAACATCTCCCAGTTGGCAGGATCAAACACAGTTTTCCAAGGAGAAAGAAGAGCTAAAGCAGAGGAGTCTCCTGGGTGCCAATTCACTAAGGCAACATTTAACTTGTATCGAATGGGAACATAAAGAGGTTCCATTCGAGCACCTAGCCAAGGTAACCAGGGATGGAGCCACGCATGGATGGGGACTTCTTCAAGGCGAGGATCCCATGCATCCACCGCAGCGGTCAGCTTAGGCATGACAAGTCCTTCGAGGATACTCTGTTTAATCCCTCCAGGGAGCAACTTATCCCACGCCTCGAGAAACCTTAGCATTGGCTCCGGATCTCGAGGTTGCCACATGTTTGTTGTGGCCAATCTGATGTGTGGGAAAACAATCTCGAGAACTAACTGGATGTAAGGCGAATTGTCGATGTCTTGAAATATTGCATGATCTTGTGTTTCATTTCCTTGTAAGAGCTCCTGCCATGCAGTCATGGCCTCGATACCATGCAGGGGTTGCACAAATGGCTGCCAACTTCTAAAGAGGATATTCATCAATGGCAGAGCCATGGAAAGGGCTATGATGCCCACACTGAATAACTTGAACTCATCTCGGTATGTATACCTAACTCTTGCAATCGCGCTGGCTAAACTCTCTAAAGTCATTCCTCCTTCATCAATTTGTCTCTGAATCTGTTCAAGAGAAGCCATCACGTCCTCCAGGACAGCAATCTGCTTCCTCTGAGCACCTACTGCAGTTTCCAGTCGCTCTCTATCTTTATTAAGAATTAACACTGTATCTCTCTCATTCTGCAACTTCTGATTGCAAGTTTGAACCTCTGCCTCTGTCAAATCTACAATTAAACGGAGATTGTGTTGCAACTCAGCCATTGGAATATTATCCTCTATTGCCATCTGCTCGGCATTCAAGTTCTCCAGATTAGTGAGCAACCTGGGCTGGGGACCTCGCATGTCGAGAACTGTCTGACGGACAACCCCTCCATTTTGGGCCTCCTTCTCCGCTAGCAGCTCAGCTGCAGTTCGTAGCTCCGTTTTCTTTTTCCCTCTGTTTTTCTTCGTCCATAGCCTCTCCTTAGACTTTGGTTTCTCTGCCACAACATCTTCATCTGGTTGCTGCATCCCAGGTGGAGGAGGCAATCCAGTTGATGTTTCCCTAAACTCGTTGAATCCCATACCCATGTTCTTTGGTCGAAGTTTCGCTTCAATAGGTTGCGCAATACCCTGCTCATTCTTCCCAAGACCTCCTCCTTTGTAACCCATCTTCTCCAGCAACTTCGACCCAATACCTCTGGTGAACATTTCAAAAGAGGGGCCAGGACCTTGACCTCCACTAGCCAAAGATTTCGCCTTAGTAGCAGCTTTCTTTCCCTTCTCTCTCTCCAGTTCCCTCCGCTCTGCTCCTTCTTTGATCCTTCTCCCAAATGCTGTCGGAAGCAATTCCTCCTCTTCAGCATTGTCCCCCTGTTTCGTACCCCCGTTCGTGTCGAACCCTAGACCAGCGGCGGATCCCAGACCTGCGGTTCCGAACCCTAATCCAGCACCTACACCAGCCGCATGCTCCTCTTTCTCTTCCTTGTCAATCTCTTCCGATGGCATGACTGTCCCCGTTGACACAAAACTCACAGGCTTGGTCAAGTCGCTCTTCTTATTGTCCCCCCGACGCCTCCTCTTCCCTGACTCCTCATAGTCCGAATCACTATCATCCACACCATACAGTGCCTCCTCCTTCGACTGTCGCTTCTTTCCTTTCTGCTTCCGGGCAAAAAAGTCGCCCCCAATCCACTTTCCGTCTTCGAAATCATTGTCTAAGTTGAACCGCTCGTAATGCTGATACTCGTCCATGTTGCCTAATTTTAATGCACAATCAGACCTGCAGACGGGAGCTCCGAGGAGCAGAAGACCCTGCAACTCTTCGAAAACAAAAAATAAATAAAATAAAAACCACCCGGATTCAATGAACCGCGTTGTGCTGCCAGGCAAACGGAAACCTACAAGCAGATGTGTGCCTAAAACCCACTCACCAAAATTTTGCCAAAGTGATCAATACATGCTCCACGCCCTAATTCATTATCCGGAAGAAGAAGAAAAACAAACAAAAAAAAACAAAACAAAACAAAACAAAACAAAAAACAAAGACCGATATCACAGCCAACCCTCAATACAAATCCAAGCAGGGTTCACGATCTCCGTGATTCGGAATCCAAACACCGCCCATCATCTCGCAACTTAACAACACCCGCGGAATAAACCTCAACCCCCAAGACCCTTGTTGGTGCCAGATTACTCTCCAGACACAAAATCCTAGGACTGGTTTCAATCCGTGAAGGCTACGGCTACCCCCTCGATGGAATTCCTTCCACCACCAGCTCGAATCGAGAGGCTCCAAACTCGAATACAAGCAATCAAGCAAGGTGTGCAGGCCCGAACAAGCCAGGCCTTCCAAGGGAATTCAATTGGTAAGTCGCCGAACACGTTGACATGTGACTCTGTTCGTTCGCAGGATTTCAAATTCTAGAACATCGGGGAAGCGATCGGCGGGAATCGGGGCTTCCCCTCCGCGAGGCTGTGTGCCCTCACGGCCGTGGAATGCGTTTCCTAAACCCGCACGTCCCCATAGCCATGGACTAGGAGCCCTAAACCCAGAGAGTTCACAACCCAACGTGGACGCATCCACGCACACCAGGGCCTCTTTGAAAATAAAATCTAAAATAAAATCATTGAAGTCTTTTCTTTTGCATTTTTAATGAAAATATCTCCACTTTTTTGTGATTTATTATTGAGATGAATCATTATTTGTGTTTTTATCACAAATCTTCCATGTACAAAATATATATATATATATACTATATATAGTGTATTTTTTATTTTTTATTTTATAACTTTTTTCGTACTTCTATTCTTTGATGATTTATTAAATGCACAAACACATCTATACCATGGGCCAAACATAGGATTTCTTAATATACATGAGTTATCATCCTATTGTTAAAAGTCTTATTTTTGCTATAAATCAATGGAAAATAAAAATGTCTAATATGATTTCGAGATTTTCATAAGTAGATCAAGAGACTTGATTTTTTGTGAATGCAATACAATTAAACACTTATACCATCAACCTTTCATTTTATTTTATTTTATCTTCTGTAATGTCTAATATGTTTAGGAAGCAATGAGATATTTTTAAAATAATTTTATTTCTGGCTAAATGATTTAATTACAATCTCTTAAGCACTTCAAATACGTTCTTATTGAAAATACCACTTTATACACAATCAATTTAGCTGGTTTTAAAATTTTGTAGAAATTTGTGGATTGACCTTATTGTGTTCTGCTTATACAGTAAATACTGTTGACCTATGACCAATTGTGTCATGTATATATATATATATATATATATATATTTTCAACTATTGTAACAAAAAAATAATTTTATTAATTACATAATCATTTGCCTCGTATTCACATTGATTTCACATGCTAAAATCAAGCAGTGATTTTTTAAATAAATAAACACCATTTTTCAGTCTACAAAATATTTGTACAGCTATCAATCATTTTCATCAATGGTATGAATATCATACATTTAAAATATATATGAATGTGTACATTGAAACAGGTCTTTATATTACTTGTCATTAAAAAAAACCATTTTCTATATAAATAAAATGATTAATGAGATGGTTTCTATTGAATCTACATATTTATAATTTCAAACTATTAACAAAATTTCTTCACTTAGGATTTTAATTCAAAAAAAGTGTTAATTATCTCTCAAAATGTGTACACACAAATACATGTATATTATTAAAAATCTATTAGCTTTCATTGTTTTGTTTGTATGATTATTTCATGCAAAGTTGCATTAATTTGTACTTTTTAGATTCTTAATTGTTTGGCTTCATTGTTTGATAATCGTAGAAAAGTCACATAAATCCATAACCAAGTTACAATCCTTCAAAAAAGAAACACACTACTTAATATATACATCATCCTACTTGATTTTCAAATGCAACACACACACACTATAAGTTGGTATACCTACATATTAAATCTCCTCACTAATTCTTTTTGTTTTGATTTGTTTTTTTTTAACAAATAAAACCTTTGACAAAACACCTAAACAGTATCCCAACATTGAACTCAGAGAACCTGTGGATCAGACAGTTCGAGGTTTTCCTGCCAACTTCTCAGCTGAAATGAACCCACATCACTTAAAATTGGGACGAGGTAGTCGAAGAAGCCATAGCGAGAAATTTCAAATATTCGACTCAGCCCTGCCTTGCCTCGTTGGTTGCGATGCAGGGAAGAAAGAAATTCCAGCCCTCTCGGCACAATCCAGTGTCTTAATTGCATCGCATTTCTGTATGTCGTCGCATAATATCTAGCGGCATTGTTGGGTTTCGAGAACCCAATTCGTAGACACGATCGGGGCCGTGGGATCTTCGATGCCGAGGGTTTTTAGTCACTTCCATCACATCTACAGCGAGAGCTTGTTTTGGGTAGATTCGAAGACTTTCATGCTCAGTTTTGAGCATTTTGAGCGTCGCAGTGCCCAGGGTTCGCCTTGTGCTTTCATCATCGACATTAGACTTGGAACACAGCTGCTTTTTCCTCTCGGAAGGGGATGAATGATGCGTCCCATCTGTCAACATTAAAAAGCGCCGCCTCTTGCAACTCTTCAGCCATCCGTCGCTTCTGACCATGTGCGAGTTCACGTACCTTCGTCGTCGTCGTCGCCCTGGGCCTTGTCTCTCGCCACACCTCTAGACCCGCCTCAAGTTTCCGTCGTCTCGGTGGTGTGCGAATTGGCTCTAGATCTTATTTCGACTGGGCCCAATTCCATGCGTGTGGCTGCGCTCGGATGTTGAGGTCTTGCTGTAGCCAACCGATTTCACACAGTTCATTTCTGTGTTCTGGCCTTCTTGTGCTCAATTGCTTGCAATGTCTCGTTGCTGGCCACCTTAACTCTGTGATCTCGCGCAAGTTTTCGTGTCTTGGTTCGTTTGCCGTTGAAATGTTGCCTCAGCTGCTAATGTAGGGTGCCCATCACTTTTTTTCTTGTTCATTTTTTAATTTTATTTTTTATATGTTGTATTTCAACTTTCACTTAACCCTGTTGGACTTGCAAGAAAACGATGTCCAGTTTATGTCCAAACCAGGGCGTATGCACGAGGGTCTTCAAGTATACAGTTTTGGTGCTGTGAGTGTGGTCATAGACAATGCTAAGCAAAGCATACTTGCTCAGACTGGTGACGGATGGAAATCAGTCCACCTTGGACAAATATTGGAAATGCATCGCAGTCGTGGTGGCAGCCGCTGGAAATAATAGGTGAAACTCGTGCTGCAGTAACTTGCTTTGATGATCCGCTGTTGTGTTTCACCTGTATAACATATGCATAGAGCAGTGGAATTTATGAGGACTTTGTAGAAAGTTGGTTGAAGGGATATATTATGAAGTGTGGTTGTTTTTATGAACGGTCTTGACGCCCATGATAATGTGTCCCGTGACTTAGCTTTAGGCAGTAGGTTTGGTTGGTTTTGTGAGTATTATTACTCGATGTCGGTAATGTATGGGTGATCGTGAACGATCGAGGTTAGGTTATGATGGTGGATGATGATGTGATAATTTTTCATTAAAACACGTAATACTAGGAAAGTAGGGTAGTCATGGGAGTTTATTTATTTATTTTATTTCTGAAGTGGATGGTGCAGGAATTGGATTGTTGATTACGCGGTTCTATTTTGGTTTGATGAGTGAGCATAATGGTGACTTGGTTGTTGAGCCGTACATTGGCAAATGTGACGATTGTATGCTTGTTCTGGATTCTGAATGGCAACTGGGGTGAGTAATTACCCTGTGCTTCTGCAATTGGAAAGAGAGGCTGTCATCAATTTTTTCGTTCTTGGCGGCTCATGGTGGGGTGGGTGCTGTTAGGTGTTATAAACTGGAGACGAGGATTTTGAATCCAATTGAGGTGCTGAAAACGGGAGGATATTTTTGAGGAGCAGCGGCGGAGCATGGATGGGTATGGTATGACAATGGAAGGGAGATGAGTGTGGTGCACGCTGTCAGTGGTTGGGATTGTGAACGCAAGTGATGAGGATCGTGCGAAGAAACGGTCCGTGCAGGGTTAGCAACAAGTGAAACATCGCGAGTATGTGTTGGAAGCTTGTGGTATGTAATGGAGTGAGGAGTGAGTGTTTGGATGGACAGTGTTTGTAAGCGATGATTCCGCAGGGTGGTGTTGTGGTGTGTTAAGGATGTCCTGTGTGTGTGGTGGATTGGGTGATGAATTTGTGTGGGATTGGATTTTTATATTTAGAGTAGTTGAATTTGACATGAGAGTTCCGAACTAGTGGTACGGGTGGGTGATGTAGGAACGTGAAGAGTGCGTTTGATTTGAGTTGGGTGGTTGTCCAGGAAAGGAATAGAATACCGAGTGAGGTAGTAATTGAATGTGCGTTGAATGGCGTGTAGCGAGGTTATTTGTTTTGGATGGTGATGTGTGTTGTAAGCACGTGGTCGGGATTTGGTGTGATTGAGTTGGTTTACATGGTGCAGTTGTGACAGTCCGGAGAAGAAATCCATGTTGGGAGATTAGCAGTGGCGGGATACGTGAAAAGTGAAGTATCGACATAGTTGTTGGAGGATGGAGGTGGTTGGCGCAGTGGAGCAGCTGTATGATTATAGACAATCTATAGATTGCATCTAAAGCTTATGTTCTGGATGACTGCAGGACTAGTTATGGCTGAATGTTGTGTGAGTAGGGAGGAGGTTCGATTTATGGATCCAAAGTCCATAAATTTCACCGAGGATAGGATTCAGTTTTATTTTCAGAGAGGAGCCCCGAGGGCTAAAGCAGAGAACGGCAATGCTGCTGTGTTTAGACCACGGAACGATGAATCGTTGCTGAGCCTACTGAGGGGTTTAAGTTCCCGCAACGTTACGGTGTTTGATATCCCTCGTATTCGGGTCATCCAATATAATGACACTTGGTACACGTTCGATAATAAGAGGCTGTGGGTATTTAGACAATTTGGCGAGGACATTCCCGTGCAGATTGCTATGCCGACGAATTTGCAATTGGCCAAGCTTTCCAAACGAGAGGACAATGGCAGGACGAAGGACCTTGAGATCATTGGCAAGGAACTGGAGAAGAAATTTCAAAGTCATGAGTTTATATGCAAGCAAAACTTGTTGAGTCATATATTGCAATGGTCTGTCAGGGATTTGTTAAGTGCTTGGCCGTTGAAAGAGGTATATGTGGGGGTTGATTAGGTTATTAACGTATAGTGGCTTTACAGCAAGTTGTTAAAAAGGCCGTAGTTGATTTTTTCCTCTGCACGTTGCCATGCTCTTGTGTTATCCTAAGTACAATGCTGGGTTTTTTGTTCCAGATGGAGCCGATCTCTCTTCGACACAACAACGTTGAGTCCTACATGGAGCTTCTAAGTCAGTGGCTTCTGGAAGAGACCCGTGCGCAAATACAACAGAATTTAGTGAAAGTTGCCGACATGGCATGTACTAGGATCGACATTGATTCTGATATTCGACCTATCAGCAAGCTAAGCTGTTTACGTAGGGTTACATGCACAATTGATCGTAACGCATTTGCGATGTTCGAGAGGTATAAGCAGCCAAAAACGTACCATCCAGCAGCCTCTGATATTGTACTTCTATCCACTTTCGCACCGCAGAAGACCGGAGATCTATTCCAAGCTGATGAATGTTTCACATTAGGTGTTGTGCAGGGAGGGCACATGTCTGGGTCATCATTTGAGGTCATAATTTATGCCACAACCCACGGGCCAGTGTATGCAGAGCTTGTGGGAGGGGAGAAAAGTTGGTATGCGATGAAACTTGAAAGCCTCGTGACATGTCAAAGGATATGGGACTCACTACATCAGCCTGAAAATACACCTCTAGCACAATATGTCGCTACTTATCATTCACCTCAGGTAACTTCACGTTTGATCACTTCGAGCAACGTCAATGGAGCAACTAAGTGCCACATATTGAGTGCAATCAAGTGCATCTAGGTTCTTCACAAGTGCATCGCTTACTTTTCTGAATTGGATTTTTTTAGTTTTTCTATTTCAGATATCCGAGACCCCAGTTGAGGAGTCCAAACTGCAGAAGTATTGCTGCACAATACGTCGTCTCAATCTCTCCCAGACAGAAGCTGTTAAGAGATTCATTATGAGGCACTTGAATCCGCAGCAAGGTTATGGTGTGGAACTGATTCAAGGACCCCCTGGCACAGGCAGGAATACTTATTTTCACTCTGTCATTGATTACTTGTATTCCGTATTCCTGCTGAGGTTAGCTGTCTATTGACTTCTATGTTTGTGAAAGCTATTGGTTTTTTTCTTCTGATAGAACATAAGTTTCTTAGTGATTTGATAATCTTTTTCTCATATTCTGGTGTCCATTTTTCTGTTTCCTACAGGCAAAACATCGACCCTGACAGCCATGCTCTCTGCAACGGTTTGTACGAGCACACGCATCCTGGTCTGTGCTCCGACAAACACTGCTGTGAACGAGGCTGCACGAAGATTTCTTCTTCAAAATCAACGAGACCAGGAAGATTCTCAGAGGGTGCACTTTTGTAGCGATTATGTTCACTCCGCATGTGGTGTAAGTTCTGACAGTAATTCTACTTGTACCCCCTTGCGTCTTGGCGATATTGTTATGCTTGGCAGTGAAGATAGGCTTGCTGTTGAAGGAAGTGCGTTGAAGGATATATTTTTGCCTCTCAGAGTAAAACGCCTTTTGGCCGCCCTTCATCCTGAAAGTGGATGGGAAGTCCTCTCTAGAACATTCCTATTCCATCTGATGGAGGTCTCAGAATCCACGGTGAAGGAGCCAGAACAACAAACTTTGGATCGTATCGTAATAGAATCAGTTGGACGTCAGGTAATTGGGCATGGGGAGGTGCTGTGCAACGATCTTCCTTCGTCTCACCTCAGCACACGAAGGATAAAAATGATTGCAGCAGTATCATGTTCAATACGTAATCTTCTCGAGCTCTTTACACATGAGAATCACAACGATGGTTACACTCGCTTGAAGGAACAATCAGCTGCCCAGGATGAAGTGGAGAATGATAATAATCAGAGAACGAAGGATCTGATTAATGACCTAAAAAAGTCTCTTTCCAGGCCCTTAAAAGATTCACTTGTGCTAAGTGACGACGCCCAATTCTCTCCGAACCCATACAAAGATGAGACTGTAGAATCTTGCACACACTATAGCAGCGATTTCATCAAGGAAAGTTATACCCTTCTCGAAATTCTGACAGCAAATGCTGAAGCCCCAATTTTCCCCCCAGCAGCAGCTAAATCAGCTGACTGGGTAGAGTCTGAGTGCCTTTCAAGTGCCAGCCTTGTATTTAGTACGGTGTCCTCTGCAGCTCTGAGAATCATGAAGTTGGGTTTGCCGTTTTCCTGTGTTATTGTTGACGAGGCTGCGCAGTTGGTAGAGGCGGAAAGCACAATAGTACTGCAAATGAAAGATGTTAAACAGCTTGTCCTCGTTGGGGACCAAAAGCAGCTACCAGCAACGGTCATGAGTCAGGTGATGACCTCCTCCAGTTCAGTATAGAGTATCTGATGTCAAGCTTTTGTTTGTTCCTATATTCTGGGCATTGACTAGAGATTTTAAGCAGGTTTTTGTGGATTGAAGATGGTGCATCTTCTTATTATGAAGGGCATTAAGCTATATGAAGTCCTTACCTATTCAGTTGATATTTCCAGCTAGCGTTGAAGAATGGGTATGCCCGTAGTCTTTTTGAGAGGCTGCAGTGCCTGGGGCATTCTTGCCAATTATTAAACATGCAGTATCGTATGCATCCCACAATCAGTGCCTTCCCAAACAAACAGTTCTACAATTGCAAGTTGAAGAATTCTGAAGACACTCTCAGTGAGAACTATGGGAAACTCGTATACCAGAAGAACATTTTTGGACCTTATGCCTTCATTGATGTGTCTGACGGCATAGAAGTCAATGCAGGCTCCAGCAAGAAAAATGTTCTTGAGGCAAATCTTGTTCTCCATTTAGTCAAACGTGTTCAGGATTCTGGTAATGCACGCTCACACTTTTTGTTGATATTTTCATGTGGTTCTGGTTGTTTCTAACATTGTCTAGTAACAATATATCATAGATACCATAAGAAATTTCAGTGTAACTTGCAGATTGTTACTCTTACAGTGTTCATGAAGTCTGACCCTTAAAGACGCTTTGTTTTAGGGCAGTTTGTGCAAATTCTAAAGAATCGGGATCGTCCACAAAGCCGATTACTGTAGGAGTGATATCTCCTTACAGTGGTCAAGTGGGCTTCATCAAGGACCAACTATGCAAAAGTGACTCAATCTGTAAATTAGAAGCAGGTGCAAATGTCCTGGATATCGAGGTGAAGTCGATTGATGGGTTTCAAGGAAAAGAGACAGATATTATTATCTTCTCTGCCGTTCGAGCAAATCAAGCTGGGAGGATCGGATTCGTGGATGATGAGCGCAGAATGAATGTTGCTTTGACTCGCGGCAGGTGAAGTTAATTTTACATCTCAAAGTGATGCAATTGCGAATACATTTGTTTCTATTGGCTTGACGATCTTATTTTGGTAACCTGAATAACTGTATTAACCCTTACATGTTCAAGCTGCTTAGCCGAGCGGTGGCAGAACCAACCAACAAATGTAAGGCTTGTAGATGCTTTCTGGCAGGCATGCGGTCTGGATTTTAGGATCAGCATCTACGTTATGTGGTCACAGCAAACTTTGGAGGAATTTGGTTGATGACGCTAAGCAAGTAAATTGCTTCTTTAAGGCCACTCAAGTTGAGTGGATGAGCGACGTCATCAATATCTTCAAAAGACATGGTAGTAGTTCGTTGCAGCAGGGAGATGGTGATGAAAGAGACATGGGCACCGATAGAACTATTAATTTTTGTGCACAATCAAGTATGGCAGCATCTCCTTCCGGGAGGAGCTGGGAGTACGAGGAACCTCCACAGGTCTGTCTGCTCGTAACATTTAGCAATTCTTTGTCTCGATGTGACAAATGGTCAAGACTACGATATAAGTCTATGTTGCAATTGAAACAGATCATCTTTAAATATTGGGGGTCTCTGTGCAATCTTTGAAATCATTACTTATAGGGGCGTTGGTAAGTGAACTTAAGTTACCGACGTGTCATTAAATTAGCTGCTTGGTCATCTGTTACACTTGTTTAGTGAAGAATCATCCGATAGAGACCCTAATGATATTTAGGAAGCCGTTCGATTCTATCTGAATGCAATCTACATTTGTCGTTGTATAACGTTAATTGATTCACACTTCCTCTGTTTCTTACTGGCTTGCGTTTTGCAGATTGACGGTCCAGATTGGTCTTCCGTATCCTCTTTTACAACAACCTCGTCACCAGCAACTAGAAGTTTACCACATTTAACGTTGGGAAAGCGACCCAGAGCAGGGCGGGACCGTGGGAGGTGGTACAAACTTAATGATAGTCGTAGCCGAGAGCCCCACCACTTTAGGGACGAACGCAGGCCCCCACAGAAGCATGAGTGGCGTTGAAGAGCAGAATACCTTAGCTAGCATCATTGAGAAAACAGCAATATCAGGTTAGGAGAATTTATGTTTCGTTGCTGTCAATATGTATCCAATTCCATTCATAAAAACCTTGTGTGTGTGTGTGTATATATGCATCTTCCTTGGTTATTACCTTCAATTCAATTTTCTAGTTAAAGGATCTTTGTTGTTCCGACTAAATCCTGATTCTTATAATCGATGTAAAACAAGCGAACTAAGAGTGCTCCTTAAGTGTATTCTTGAACTTTCATCTGAAATTTAGGGTCGAAGTATTCATACATCTGTGATAACCGTTCTGAGAGATGAGGTTTGATTTATGTTCATCGTTGTGTGTCATGAGCCGTGTTTCTTGCATTTATAAACATACATCGATTGGAGCCGTCACAAGGATTTGCTCTTACATGAGAAGTTGCAGGTCTGGTAGTGATTTTCCTTGGACATCTTCCGTGTCTACTCTGCAACGTGGTTGAGACCTGCCTGCAAGTTTGTGACAGGCAGACTGGGTTAGTAATATCCAAAACCCAATCTGCAAAGTATTAATACCTGAGAACGGACTGGGCGGCGAATAAGAATGAAGGGTTACTGTTTGAAGAAGTGACTACAACACAGCACTCTTTATCGTGAGTATTTTCGAGGATCTTTACTGGAATGTTCACAGTTCCTTTTTGTAAATAGGAAGTTTTGAAGTTATCTATATCAAAACTTATGGCAGTATTCTAGTGTGTGCAATATATGTACATGATGAAGCAGGGGTGTCTGACGATTATGACAAAAGTATTTGTTGCAGGCTACACATGTGGACCACAAATACATGTAATTTGAAATGTAAAATTTACACACTTTAATTTTGTAGGTGGATGATAAACCTGTAGATTTAGTCAGTGATGGTAAGTTTTTTCGAAATCCTTTTCTATGTATGTAATAGAGGTGCCGAGTGTGAGAAACAGGCCCTTCCCGTTGTGGAATCTCATGATCATCAAAAACGTCAAGAACAATGAGAATGGAATTGTAATTGTCACCCCAGATAGGCATTAATTAACACCCTGAACCAGTGCACTATAATTGCAGGCATGAGAATGCGTAGTTTTGGGGTTTTTTTTTATTTGTTACATGGAATTAATGTTTTTAATGACTAAATATTAATAAATAGTTCATTTTCTGAAAAAAGTCACATACCTTACCATACTAATTGCCTATTTATCTACAAAATTTATGATACAAATTTTCATCTCTAACTTGTCTAATTTGAAATTACCAACACATAATGTTTTGAGCATTGATATGAAATAAGATCAAATAAATATTAGAAATCTGTATATAAATGAATATTTATTTGGAATACTTATATATATATATATATATATATATACATATATGTACACATGATTATATACATGCATACATAATTGTATACAAATTATATATAAATAGATTAAAAAAGAATATTTATTTTAAGTTTTGAAGCTTATATGTACAAAAATATGTATTTCCCTTCTTTTTTGCTTTCTTCCTCTCTTTCACAATAAGCCTTCTCCTATCAAACTAAAAAATAAATAAAAATATACAACTCACAAGAAGAGTTGCTCAAAGACATCCAAACCCATTTACTCATACAGTCTCCCTTCCTTCTCCCACCTTCCCCTCTCTTATGTAATTATAGATATTAAGCTCTATACAACAACAACAACAACAACTAGTCAATTAGAGGCCTTCATTTTTCTTGGATGTGTTCTAAACAAGATCCAAGATACATAAGTCTTATTACCAAACAATGCAATAATTGAACAAAAATAAGATTAGAAGGCCCAAAACTAGACCACAAGACATATATTAATGAAAGTGAGAAGTCCCTCAAGGACTGAGTCCTTCAACCTTGATACCTACATACTAGGATTTAAGAAGCTTTTAGATAACTTCTTTTGGAAGGCTTTGTCCCCAAGTCATCCTAGAATGCTTCTTAATGGTTTCCTTGTTGCTTCATTACGAAAAAACTTCAAGAACCTTCTCTTGTGACATCCTACATTGCTTGAGAATTAAACCTTACAAACCTCCTTTAGAACTTTCTAGAATCTTTAAAGACCTTCTAGAATTTTCTGAAGCCTTTGAAAACCAACTAGAACCTTTGAGAATCTTTTTGAGATAGATATCTGTGATAAGGTGTGTATATGGCAATCTAAATTGTGCATGTAATATTTTGAGGTGTGCTTGTAGCTTGAGTCTAAAATTAATTTTTTTGAAGTTTATAATTAAAAAAATTATATTTTATATTCAATTATAACTATTATTTAATATTATTAAAACTTTATGTTAAAATTTTAATTATAATAATTTCTATTTTTTTAATAGAATATTATTTAAAATTAATATAAAAATAAATTATAGCAAAATTATATAAATTTTTAAACCTTATAAATTAAACCTAAATAGTATAAACAATAAAACTCTAAAATTGTGGCATAATTTCATGTCCAAATATATTTCATGTCCAAACCAATGAAACTTTAAATCATAAGATATTATAAGATTTATTTCTAAAGATTGGCAATATATTTACACAAAGGGTTATTAAATTAATAGCTTTGTTAATTATCATATAATAAACTAATAATATATATATATATATTAAATGAATTATATTTTATGTAAAAAATCTGAATATGGCCAGTGATGTTAAAGTACAAATAAATAAACATGGATATATGTATATTTATACATGCATATATATACACATATACAAATGAAGGTTCAAACATAATTATTAAAAGGTACTTTATAATAACTTACCACAAAAAATTAAAAATTTTATCTACCAAAACACAACCTGAGCCATTATTGGGTGTCAAAAACATCAATCAATTATGAAAATAACAATTATATATATATATATATATATATATATAATATTTGAATATATATATATAATATTTGAATATATATATATATATATATATATATATTCAAATATGTGGTATAATCTTTTTATACATTATAAACTTGCACTCTCAAAATATAAATACTCAATAAAATCATGGTATTGCAGCAAAAAGACTGAAATCAATATAACTCCTAAAAGGAAGTTTGTGATAAGATAATGTTGACATATAAAAGCGTAATTTAAAAACACCTTAAATTTTTCAAATTTTATGCAAAATAAAACGGGTCATAACAAAATTACTGCATTATATCTTTGAATCCTATCAGAACATGAAATAACAGTTCTGTTGACATGGTACATTTTTCATTCCAATTGTCAGACCTCACCGTTTAATTGGTGATCCTGACCTAATTTTCTCAAAGTCAGTTGCAACACTCCATGTTGAAGTGTTCCAAAGTGTTTCTAAAGCCTGGCAAGGGAAGGAAGGAATCAATGGCTCATCATCCAGATTGAGATTGAGATTGAGAGTCTCATCCTCAAAACAACGTCCATTTCGTCATCTCCGATAGACCTTGCAAATCTGCTCGGTTTCGTCGATGTTCCTCAATCACACCCTTCAATCTTCAGTTCCACTCTCACCCTATCGTTGATTGTGCACGCTTTGTAGCTGCACTAGACATTTCCCTATGAAGAATTGATGTAGCTGGGTGCCATTCAAGGCCATTTTTTTCTCACAAGTTTGGGCCAATTTTGGGCTGTGTCCAGATGTTTCCGGTTTTTGGATTTTGAGGTTCTTGCAATTTCATGGGTTTCGAGGAATTGGGGTCCTTTTGAGAGTGGCTTATGGTTGGGGATTCTGGTGTCGTGGCATAGTTAGCAGGATTAAGGCGGTGGAGAGCTCTTATCACAGTGTGGGTTTTCGTCACTGGTTCTTGGTTGATGGAAGTGGAGTTGTTTGTTCTTCCTGATATCTTGCTGAATTTCACAAGCTCTTGATGGAGGGTTGAGAGCTGATATCTCCTGACAACGTCTCCCTCGTCGCAATGTGGTATTGGCTTGCTTTACCGTTTTTTATTTTTTGAGTTTTACAGCCTTCAGTGGAGTGCTCACCATATGGTGATTGCACTCTTTGAGTTCTAATATTGTTGTCTACTCCGTCTCTAGTTTTCTTGGAGCATTAGTTCGTAGTGTGCAGTCGTGCTGAAAGACTTCAAATATTTTACGGAAACCCCCTCGTGACGTTGGACCCATTATGGCTTGGTTCGTCATCTTCAGCTCGTGGTTTTTTGATGGGAAACGGTGATGCCAACGGTGATTTTTTGTTGATTCCTTGCATCAATTGATACTGATTGGTTTGCAACTTGAAGTAATTGCTCTGGTGCTCCTTTGATGTAGGATCACGTTGCTAGAGTGGAATCAAAATTGGCAGAATTTTTGCACGTACATGTGAAGAGTGCTCAGCATCGTCGTCGGATTCTGCTGGAAAGGCCATGGATTCGACACTTCAGCTTCTCAACAGCCCCAATTTATCAAATGAGCTTATTAATGGGCAGAATGGGAGCGGTCTTAATTTTTCATTCTTCCAGAAAAGTGATGTAAGTCTTCATATCAAATACATTTCAGAGGAGGCGACTTGATGTCTTTTGATGTGGTTGCAAAACTTACAGGAAGATATATTTTGCAAGTTCCCGCAAGAGGGCTGAGTTTTTTTCTTGTTTTTGTTATGTAATGTCCTGTCATAATAGAACTAGGAAAAAGTGTAGAAATATGTCCCTTTTTAAAATAAAAAAATTGATATTTTTTAATGCATCTCTGACTCCTGATTGATACCATAAGAATGTGTCTGCACGCGATGGTTTGCTAAGTGTAGGTTATTTTCAGTAGTTGCGCCTCGTCACATGCTAGTCGTGTAGGATCAATATCCTATGTATGAGAATCTGTTGCCCATGTGGATGTAGCTTTATTTAGTACAATAGATTTAGCAAAAGTTACTTTGACGAGATTTGTTTAAAAGGATGACTATACTACATGCTCATTTTGTGGTACTACTATCCGTCTTCTGATTGTGGATTTTATATGTGCAGAGGCAGACAGTTTCTGTAGGCACAGTCATCTGGTCGGAACAACAGTTTCAGCGCCCACATGAATATGCCTCGTCTGTTCCTAGAGAAAGACATAATTTTCGTCCCATAGCTTGTGCATCCTTCAGGAGTGGGAAAAGAAACTCTGAACCTACCAGTACGAATGTTTTGAGGCGAACTTCACCAATTGATGATGCTGGTAAGCACTTGCAGCTCTTGCAGAATACGGATGAAGCGAGGGAGGCAGTTATTAGGTTGAAGGCTCGTGTTCAACAGGGCATTTCTATAGACTCTTATACGTACGTTGATATTCTACAAAAGGTTTTCAAGCATAAAGATCTTGTGTTGGCCAAGCAAGTCCATGAGTGCATCATAAAAAGTGAAATGGAGCAACATCCGTATGTGGCTAACAAGCTAATGAGTATCTACATTAGATGTGGGAGGTTGCAGAATACACGCGAAGTATTTGACACACTTGTGGAGAAAAATGTTTTCAATTGGACCATCATGATTGGAGGATATGCTGAGAATAATCATTTTGAAGATGCAATAGAAGTATATAATAAAATGCGCCAAAATGGTGTGCAACCAAATGAGATAACTTTCTTCAACATCCTCAAGGCTTGCACCAGCCCAATGGCTCTAAAGTGGGGCAGGAAAATCCATGATCACATCAGACATGCTGGCTTTCAATCAGACCTGCGTCTGGGAAATGCGCTTATTCACATGTACGCTCGGTGTGGTAGTATGGATGATGCAAGGCTGGTTTTCAATGGAATGGTGGATCGCGATATTATTACTTGGAATGTGATGATTGGTAGACTTGTACAGCATGGGCGTGGACATGAGGCTTTCTCCCTCTTTCTCCAGATGCAGCGAGAAGGGTTTGTTCCAGATACAACCACTTATTTGAGTATGCTCAACGCGAATGCTTGCACAGGGGCTTTGGGATGGGTGAAGGAGGTTCACAGCCACGCCCTCAGAGCAGGACTGGAGTCAGATGTGCGTGTGGGCACAGCACTTGTGCACATGTATGCCAGGAGTGGCAGTATTAAGGATGCCCGATTAGTTTTTGACAAAATGACGGAACGCAATATCATCACGTGGAACTCTATGATTGGTGGACTTGCACAGCACGGATGTGGGCTTGAAGCATTCTCCCTCTTTCGCCAGATGCAGAGGGAAGGGCTTGTTCCGGATGCAATTACTTATGTGAACATCCTTAATAATGCATGTGCAAGCACAGGGGCTTTACAATGGGTGCGAAAGGTTCACGATGACGCTGCGAAGGTGGGACTTGACTTTGATGTGCGGGTGGGCAATGCACTGGTTCATATGTATGCCAAGTGTGGGAGCATGGATGATGCTAGACGGGTCTTTTACGGAATGGTGGATCGTGATGTTGTCAGTTGGACTGTTATGATTGGTGGTCTTGCCCAGCATGGGTTTGGGCGTGAAGCATTCTCTCTTTTTCTTCAGATGCAAAGAGAGGGATTTGTACCGAATTTAACTACTTATCTCTCCATCCTTAACGGGAAAGCAAGCACAGGGGCTTTGGAATGGGTAAAGGAGGTTCATACTCACGCCGTCAATGCGGAGCTTGATTCTCATTTGCGTGTGGGTAATGCTCTAATACACATGTATGCTAAGTGCGGCAGCATCGAGAATGCCAGATTGGTTTTTGATAGAATGGAAGATCGAGATATTATCAGTTGGAATGCAATGATTGGTGGACTCGCACAAAACGGACATGGGCGTGAGGCTTTCTCTCATTTTCTTGAGATGCAGAGAGAAGGATTCATCCCTGACGCAGCTACTCTTGTGAGCATCCTGAATGCATGCGCGAGCACAAGGGCTTTGGATAGGGTTAAGGAGGTTCATAGTCACGCCCTCGAGGCCGGACTTGAGTCAGATTTGCGCGTTGGCAGCGCTCTTGTGCACACGTATGCCAAGTGTGGCAGAATTGACGATGCCAGACTCGTGTTTGAGGGAATGGCGAGTCGTGATATTATCACTTGGAACGTGATGATTGGAGGACTTGCTCAACATGGGCGTGAGCATGAAGCGTTCTCCCTCTTTCTTCAGATGCAGGACGTAGGGTTTGTTCCTGATGCTATTACTTACCTAAGCATACTTGGTGGGAATGTAAGTATAGAAGCTTTGGAATGGGTGAAGGAGGTGCACAGGCACGCCGTACGTGCAGGATTTGATACTGATCCGCGAGTCAGCAGTGCACTTGTTCATATGTACACCAAATGTGGCGATATTGATAATGCTAAACTAGTTTCTAACGGGAAGATAGAAACTGGCCCTTTGACATAGATGACAATGATCAGTGAATTTACACCACTCAGTCGTGGGTATGGTCAAGATGCCCTACAACGTTCATGGCAGATTTGTCAGCCTGTTATCATGCAGGTGTCGTTTGTGGCGGCCACTGCTAGGATTCTGACTATGACGCAAGATATTGGCACTGCAACTACAGTAGTGCAAGCAGGCCATTTGGAGTAAATCGAGCATTTCACTCCAAATATGCTACCGGATCTGGATGGAACCGCATGGGGAGACTTGCTTGATGCTTGTAGAAATCATGGGGATGTGGAAATGGCTGTACCTACCGCTGAAGGTGGAACTATTGGGTGCCTGTACGTACAAGGCTCCTCTTCGATATCTATGCTCCAGCTACCAAATAGGACCCGAAGTCACCTGTTAGCAGTTCGAGTTAAGGAACAGGTATATAATCACTTTTTTCACAGCTGAGAATATCACGCCGAAATTTTCACTTTGTAGTGATTTCAACCCTTGAGCACTACCACCTGGCCGCATGCACCAACCTGTAAAAGAATCCACTCACAGTAATGCATTAAAAGCCCGGAATCGAAAACCATGATCCTTGGATGTAAACAAAACTTAACCTCATCAGGCTTAGCGATTCTTGTCTGCAAGAAACGTGAGATATGCAGAAATTAATACGATGAATAACAATGGAAGGTTCAAATGGCACAGAGCTAAGGTCCACAAAAATATAAATTGTAAACCAACATATCTTTTTAATAAAAATAATAATAAAATTAAAAAACCAACTAAAAATTGTACTGACACTCACTTCGAATTACCAATTGCAATTTAAATATGTATTTTTTTTTTGCCATAATAGATGCACCTGTGCAGAAGAAGAAAAGAAAAACTGTGGATGGAGAATTCAAGTATGCAAAAATATAAACTGCAGCAAATAAGTCAACTGCGGACAGCTTTCATCGACGTAAAACAATGCCTCAAATTCGGCAAAGCTTCAAATGACAGCATCGTTGCCGGAGAGCCGTTCAATTCCTGGCCCTTGATGGCAGTTCACCATTTCGGTGCGATGTGGGTGCGAGATCCGTTCCGAAGAAGCACTGTAGATCGATTGCATCGGAATGCACCGTGCGAGTTTAGTCGACGCAAGGCGGGCTTTTTTAACTCTATCTTAGCCCGGCCATGTATTGGTTACTTCCTGCAATGAATTTACTTCATTTATGCCAAAATAAAAATAAAAATGCACCATGCGCTGTAAAGATCCGAGCTTCATGCGAATCATGATCTAGTATTTCAGGATCTCATGGTCAATATCCGAACATTTTCCTCCGAAGTTTCAAGAACAATGCCCACGCCTCCACCTTACCGGACAGTTTAAATGCTATGTTCAGCTGTTTGCTAATGTTAAGAATCTATGTCCGGGTTCAATTTACCGCCAAGTGCCACGGTCCATTCGCAACGGCGCATAAGCGGGGCTAGAATGTTGGACTTGTCTTGTACAGGTTGCACACGGTGGTTGCCCTCTGCGAGAAGCCGGATTGGAGTTCATATACACTTGGAGTTCGCCTGTTCGGAGAGATGTCTAATCATGTCTTTGATTTATGTGGATTGCACTGGCTGGTTCCCCGGAATAGTTCGTGACCGCTGGTAGGGGGCTGCAAACTTGCATTGAGTGGCGGAGCGGCTCTCGGGATTGAAGTGACCTCCCTCGCTCCGAAAAATGTGATTGAGGTGTGCCCCCCACACCTACAGAGCCGCAGTGCTTTGTGTCCGATATGAACCGGTCTCAAGTTTCAGATCAGCCCAGTGGCATGCTCATGACAGTGTTGGTTCGGATCTGTGCTTCGAAGTGAAAAGTGCAAATGCGATTGCAGTGTAAATCCTGTATTGGGAGAAGGAGACCTCGCTTACAGTTTCGTGCGTGCTCCGTTTAACTTTATGTGATGGACTTGCGCAGTTCATGCCAAAAAATACAAATAAATAATAGTAGATTGCAATGTGAAACCACCGAGCACACCATTATTAGGACATACTACTTGATTCTTCTCGGGTCGATCTGGAAACCCGCGGTACATTCTGTCAACTCGATATTTGGATGTCAGAAATCACACGTGTCCAATGATCGCAACCAATTCGACAAGTGCCCACCGCCATGTTTGCGATCCTATCAATGCCCAGGTGCTTGAACAGATGATGATTCGATTATGGGTTGCACCTGACATTCTAAACACGGATCGCTTGTTGCGTAAAATGCGGTTCTCAGCATGTCATGGTCCTTACATGAGCGCTTCCTCTTCCCCTACTCAGCTGAGTCTTCAACATCCAGCACCATCTGGTAGCTTGTATTCGAACAATCCCTTGTTGTTGTAACAACATCGAACGATCAAATAGAATGGCCAAGGTAGAGAATCATCTCCTCGCTGTCATCTTATTGGTAGTTGTTGCTACTGTCATTGGTGAAGGAAGAGATTCTGACGCAAATGTTACGATGTCGAAGAGCAGCGTATCCCTTGAGCTCGTCCTGTACAACTTGGCGCAGGGAGATGTGACATTCCAGTTGGGGACCTCAGCCCCGGTGGTTGTACAGACGGGCCAGTCGTCAGTCATCAGACCGGTTACGGTTAACCCAGTCAATTTTCCCGTTGTCACCTTGAATGTGATAGTGAACAAGACCAGAAAACATATTCCGGTGAAAAAGGTGTTGCAAATCAACTTGCTGAAGTATTTTCGGCGCAGCGAGCTTATGTCCAGCGGTAGCAAATAGCTGGTTCTGACTGCCGTGGAGAGCTGGAGGTTGAAGTCGGGGAAGTATTTGGTGATCAAGCTGGGGTTGCGAGAGGTGGTCCTCACTTTCAAGATGTAGGTCTAATTTCAGGATCGCCGTCGTGGTTATCTGCGGCGTCTGTTCGGCAACCAGCGTAGTAGCAGCAATCGGGTAATCTACTCTGTATCGATGTTACAGCAGTCGATCGGGTACTACACTCTGCATTGTGAGAACTTATTAAAACAATCAATTCCACGTATATATATATATCTATTTGAGCTTCTCCTGGTGACATAGTTTTGCACGGTTAATGAGTTGGACCCGTTGGGTAAAATGTTGGTCATAGTTGGCCTTGTAGCTTCTGCACAGGTACTGAGATTGCTTCAGCAAGTTTAACAGAAGCTCATTTGATCACATCCAATAGAAGTTTCTCCTCATGGTCCTTGTACATCGCCTGGATTTGACTCTTATTGAAGTGAGGTCAGATGAATCGAAGGATCTGAGTTTTTTCATGACTTATTCTGAACTGAGTTTTTGTCGTGTTGGATAATGTTGCACAAACTCCTAATTCAATGCCACGAGGCAAATATTAAATTAGGCCTTATCTGTGGATAACATTCTTGAGCATACTCTCACACAAGCTGGTCAATGTTTTATAGTCAGCCCTCATTACCCCCACCTTGACATGAATTACCTCCGTCGACTTGGCGTTCAGATTAATTTCTGTCAGCTTTAAACACCTTTCAAAGAAGCATTAGGTGCATGACCCAGAGAAATGACCTGAAGAATTGGAAGTCATGAATTTCATGAAGAGACCATTCTGAAAAACGAATCTAAAATAACTTTCAACGGGAGTCAAAAGCTGAATCCAAAGAGAAGTGGTATCGTCATAAGATCGTCCAGGTTTCATATTATGTTATAATATGACCTTGCTCAACTTATACTTGGTAGCAGTAGGTGCAAATTTGCCCAAATGGAGCATAAGAGACGATCTGTGTGTTTACGAATCTGTATGTATCGGAAATTAGCTTCATGCTAAAATGATTGACTGTGATTGAGGTTGTTGTTCAATGCAGTGTGGTTTTTAGAATTATTGTTGGGAAATGTACACATTGTTAAACTAGAAGCCATATTTACGTTCGTTATCTAATGAGTATGGTATTTTCTATTTTAAACAGTTGTTCGTGTTGCGTTTGGATTCATTAGAATATAAACACGCATGCTTGTAGGATAACTATTAGTGCAGGTGTAAGTAGCTTACATTCTTTTGCTCCTAACATACTAATACCGTTTTGATTTGGAAGTGTGAACTTATAATGATTGATTATCCAATTAATCGAAAAGAGTAAGATAATCGGAGACTAGATATCTCAAATCTCCAAAAGAATTTGTTTCTAATGCCAATTGTTGGTTGATACAAGAAAAAAATATGATTACTATTATTTATGCAAAATAAATAATAAATTGAAGCAATATTTTTAAAATATTAAATACCAAAAATATAAGAATATGTCATACACCAAATAAAATAGAAGTAAATGGTCTCTCATAACTAGACAATTTTTAGTATTAAAAAAGATAAATAATATATATATATATATATATATATATGCATGTGTGTGTGTGATTTTAAAATTACATTTTATGTTAAATAATTTAATGAATATGATATTAATATATACTTAGTTAGGCAATAATTATTTTTAAAATAGTTGCTGTAGAAAAAAAAACCTTTAAACTTATACCCATCAATAAATGTCATCCTTGAATGATCATCTAGAAGTTAAATTTGGGTAAAATTCTTTGTTACATACATATTTTTAATTTTTAAAAAGAAAACCACAAATTGTGGATTATGATGTTTATAACAGATGAATGTATTGCAACAAATGAAGTTTTAAGTTTGATTCCTGGAATTGATGATAATCTCATTTTTCACCTTTAAAACAAAATATCTTTATGAAATCTTATTATCCAAGTGTTCAAATCAAAAGAGTTTGAAATTATTAAAATTCTTAAATCAAATGAATGTCCACTACGATTGTTCATGAGCAATATATCTTCTTTATATAGAAACTTGAGGATTTTTTTGTTCCCACCTCGAATAAATTCCGTTAAGAAAGGTTACCAAATAACTTGCTGATAAATAGCATGATATAGCACCTTTCACTGTCCCACTCAAATTGGCTCTATTATTACTATTATTATTATTTCTATTCATGTAATGACAACTCTTACTTCAGTTTTGGCTATCTCGTAGAACCTTGATATTACTTGAGTATTCTAAACTAGTTCTATAGTTTTGTTAAAGTACCCCACATTCGACTTTGACAGATAGTAATTTTCATGTTGACAAGTTGGAGTTCACAATGGTAGTGGAAGGTATGCAGGGACTGGTTGGAATCTGAGTGCATGCAACTGACAGCTATGAAGACTTCCATATCTTTTACATATGGGAAAATACATATTAAATTCCTCACTTGTGAAGGTACAAGTAAATTTTGATCCAACTTCCTTTCACCTTGGATAGTTGAAACCGACACTCATCTTTCCTTACCCTACGGCCTCTGGGAACAGTTCATATGTAGCCTTCATAGACATGAACATGAAGTAGAAAGCTACAATTCTTGACGTAAACCTGGTTACACTTGACAGACTTGTTTGTCAACAGTACAAGAGACTGTTGAGTTGAACATTAATTGACCGCCTGTAGTTATGCATTGCTATATTTCAAGGATGAACTTAGTACTCTTGTGACTACGACGATTGTAATGTTAGCTATATCGCAAATTGGAGTTGACAATCCTTTGTCAGCCAAGCCTTGTTCGGACAATTTTTGGTCACAGATTGGATAATTCTTCTATCTGGTGCAAACTTCTTCAATTTCCCTTCAGATGATAATAATGCTGGATGCGTACGGCAGGATGGACACAAGATTCCACCAAATTATGAATTTGAATCTTGAAATCAAATAGCTGCTGGGTATAACTGGATGGACACACGAATCAAATATGACACTGCCACGTCCACTTTAGAAGCTGAAGCACGAGAAATCAAGACTCTTCGTCCAAGACAATACCTTGCAAATGATTATATTGCCCGACCTCAGCTCACAAGCTGACACCTGCTCCTCGATTCCAGTTGCAAGTTCATCGCGACTCACTGGACTGCTACTATGAATAAAAATCTTCAACGAAGTAACTGAAGTTCCTAGCAGCAACCCTAAAACCTTTAGGGAGGCCTCCCTATTGTGCGGAATCATGTGAAGATACAAAGTATTTATCACAGGCCACTTCTCAACGGAAATGAGGGTGTCAACTTTCGCTTCTAAACTATACCATAACCCAGGTCCAATGTTTAACACTTCCAGCTTTCGTAAATTATGTAAGTGATCAAAACTCGGTAAGCTCAATGGAACGTCTTTCAGTGGCGCCAAAAACCTTCCATCTTCCGCGAGAGTCATGCAGGGTATATCCAAAAATACCTTCTTCAAGTTCGGATTTTTTTCCACAAGACTTGACATTGGTATAAAACTGGCGGCTCCATATAGAAGCTCTTCTAACCCGGCGCCCTCCACCTGTCCACTATAGTTTATGTGTGATTCCGTTACTGTATGACTACTTGTTGATTTCGGCACAGCATCTATGCATTTCAGCTCCACTTTCGAACTTTCAGGCACTTCCAGATTAAACGCAACATATCTCAAAACAGGCGCTATGATGACTAGATTCTTGGGGCATTGCATCTTTAATTGCAGTTTCTTAAGTGTTGGGAGGTTCATTACTAAATCTTCCGCTGGAGTGGAAAGACCAAGACAAAGAACCGTCATATGTTGGAACGTCAAGTTTCCTCCTTCAGCACCAAATACCCCAAGCAGCGCCAGAGTACTCAAGTTTGTCATTGAATCTTTCACATTTCGTAAAGCTGCACCGTTTACTTTGACACAGCGCCACGTTAAACTAGTCAACGAGGTCATTCTATGACAATCACTCATGTCAATAAACATATTCCTTAAATCCAAAGTCTTAAGTCGATTGCCTGCAAAAGGACAGTTTGAGAGAGAATTAAAACCCTACGAAACGCACCTCGTTCACAGAATTGCGAGCAAAAAAAAGTGGACTCTTGAGGAATTCTAAGAGTACAGACTAAGCGGACATTTCAGAGAAAACTACAAGACAGAAACAGTATCAACAAAATCGAAGAGAAGACCTAAAACTTCTCCAGCACACGACTAGCGTCGTCTATTCACTTCATAGAAAGATTGAAGGATAGGTGACTCACATGTTACGGATAAAATACTCATAATGCTGGATTTCCGCATAATTGACTGCTGGCCGTAATCTACTATGCACAGGTGTTGAAGTGTTGACGCGAAAGGATTCACGCACTGCTTCAAAAACCGGTGGTCACTCATCCAAAAGTCAGTTTTCTGCCTTTCATCCTCGCGGACCGACTTCGCCTGCAGCTTCGGATCGATCTCTAACCGAAGCTGCAATAAGCAATCTTTACCTTTAAGAAACCTGACTATCATCTCCTTGATTGGTAAAGTAGGCCCTCCAACCTTCTTAGTATTTGATGAACCAGCCGTACTCGATTCAGCTAAACTCAAAGACTTCATATGAATACTACTTCTGGCATTTTCATGATAATCATTCAAGACCAGAATGCGCAGAGACCGGACAGATTTTCCAGCGTCCCGGAAGTCCTTGCACACTAACTGGCATTTCGAGATATCTACAGCATCCTCCACCCGGTTCAATATTTCCGTCAAGATGTACAAAGGTAACTGGAACGAGCTCATGGTCACCACACTGCTAGGTACCTGCAGATACAAAATCAGAACTGGCTTGCAATTAGGCTCAGAGAAATGAATCTTACCTTCGTGAAGATACAACTGATGTCAAATGTGCCCCCAGAACAATGGAAGTTACCGTTGAATGAGCACTGTCATGTTCAAACTTCCAAAAATAGTTTGTTTGCATACTACAAATAAGGAAAAAATACAATAAAAGCAGGACTACCAAACCCACGCAAATCTAACGTTGATGCTCACAGCTGCGTCGCTAAATATATTGCAGAACTGGTCTTGTAAGGCGATGCAATGTCAGCACTCGTGGTGCACTTCGCAACTCAGCAGTGAAAAAACAAAGTGCAGACAGTGCAATACAACATAATCAGAAACTTGACAAATACTCAAAGCCGATTCAGTGGGCCTACCTGAACTTGCAACCTCAACTTCACGAAAGCTTGCTTTGTAACCACCACTTCAAGAGAAACAGTGCTTCCCGAAACTAAGGTGGGGGTGGCCCATCATTTGGAAGAAATCACCGCCCATCACTCGAAACTGACATCGAAGCTGAGCCACCGCTTCTCTTAGGTCAAGAAGCGCCTATGGCCACCGCGCGTGAAAGATCAAAAAACCCTCGTCCGAGTGAGCACAGAGGATTTCGCATTCTTATGGGTTTTAGGTCGACTGCTGTTGACTAAGGTCCACGACACGTACCATATCTAAAAATAGAAACAACTACAAACTGAATTTTTGAAGTTGGTCTGTTGGAAAGTAAGGATGATCGTGGAGGTTTAATGGTTAGAATCATCTTCTGATTAATACAAATTAAATAAAAATTCTACAAAAATTCAACTGTATTTATATATGAGTTATTTTAAAACCTCATACAACAAACATTTATCTTCATAGATTCTATGTAATTGACATGTTGATATTATATATATATATGAACAATAAATATAAACTCTTCTTTGGCTTTTCTGTAAGAGACTATAATTTAGAATTCTTCTTATGGTTGAAGAAGATATATTTTTTAAAATTTCACTTTCTATCTATTAAATGTTTAAAATGAATTATATATTCATACAATTACAAAAATCTTGATTAAAATATGAATAGTCTTAACATTATGTAATGCTATGAAAATTAAAATATCAGTAGATCAAAATACCTAATCTAATTTTCTTTTTCGAATGAAATTGATGGAAAAAAGAAAAAGGAAAAAAGAAAAAAGAAACTTTTTGAACATGTACATGTATATAAATATTTCTAAAAATTAAAAGAAGTGTCTATGAGATAAAACAAGAGCAGAAAGATTTTAAAACAATTTGGTAATATAATTGATAGTTAGTAAATTGAATTTATAATATATAATATATTTTTTCTATACAAATATATATATATATATATATATATATATATACACACACATAAATTTTCTTCTATGCATTACAAAATATTAACAACATAGATTCAATTAAAAAATGATGCAAATTCTTAAAGGTACCTTGGACTTCAATAATAATGTTTTAAAAAACATTGTAAATATTTATAAATTTGCATGTGATATTTACAATTCAACATATTATAACAAAAGAAATGATCCATGGTATTTATATTGCATTAAATGCTTACAATTCATCTTAAATCATTCTACCATAATATCTAGCAGACTAAGTTTTTATTGATTTTAATGGAAATGATAGACATGTGCTAGTCGATGAGAATGGTTCAACCTAAACAATAAATTATGTTTGGAAATTTTCAATATTATTGGCATTTCATTTGTTTCTTGGACAACAATTTATTTATTTATTCATTCATTAAACATTCTTATTTGTTTACTCTGAAACCAATATAACAGTTGTAATGCAAGTTAATTTCCTTTTTTTAAAATTCTTAAATATTTGCAACAGATTTATTATCACAAATAGTTCAGACATGCTGAACATGCTGAGACAAGCTGGCAATTACAAGGATGCATGTTTTATTGCAAGATAACAGACAGAAATGAGCAGGAATGTGAGGTAGCCTCTCAGGAATGACACATGCAACCCATGTTTATGTGAGTGTACAAACTGAGGATGGTTTGTCACTCTAAACATGCATCTTGTGTCTTGATTCTAAATTCCATCATTCATATCGTGTGGGTTCCAAGTTGCTTTAAAAGCAGGGAGAGGTGCATCATGTGTTTCCACTCTCTAGCAACAATTTTGTATGCTATCACTTTTGACATTTAAACAGAGAAAAAGAAGAACAAGAATAAATCGATATTTATCTACCCATATATAAAAAAAATCAACTAGCCTATGTTTGGTTCGAGCGTCCAAAAATCCCATTGGCATGCACTTGGTTGACATGGTGCCGTTTTTGTGTGTTTGTTTGTTTGATTGATATCTTCGTTTGTGTGTTTGTTTGTTTGATATCTTCATTTGTTTGTTTGTTTGATATCTTCATTTGTTTGTTTGTTTGTTTGTTTGTTTTAATTGCATTAAGGAGCACTAATTGGTATATTGTGTTTTTTAATTTTTATTTTTTTGATTAGCTGCCAAAAATGTATTTGACATTGGCAATGCTAATAGACTAACTAATAGAATATATATATATATATATATATATATATACATAATTAAAAGGTTTTAGAATACATAAATTTGTATTTATTTTTTTATTCCATTAAAATTTCTTAAAGATATTAATTTATATTTTAGATACGTGAATTTGTAATATTAATCAATTTTCACATGATAATTACTTTCAAATTTTAACTCCTAGATTAGATTATTGGTAAAATTCTGCTTTTGTATTAAATTTGGACGTGAAAGATTTTTTCAATTAAAATTTTAGGTAGCACAACATAATTGTTTTATGTAGGAATCTAATTATAAGTATTGCATTAAAAAAAATTAAAAGAAAAAATCAAAACTCAATAGCATCTTTTAAAAAAATCAATATCATCAATTATAAATTATAGTTCAAATTATTTAAATTATAAATATGGTCATAGTTAAAAAATACTTTCCTTTAATTTTAAATATTCTAATTAAATTGATAATAGAGCAACATTTTGACTAAATATTGAAAAGATAATATTTTTTTTAAAAAAAAATCATTTGTGAATTTAAACTTCTAAAACTTCTTGATATTAATTTATCCAAACTAAAATTAAAATATTTGAAAATAGAAAATTAACCTTAAATATAATTTTAATTTAATTTTAATAATATATTATTAAAGATAAGAGCTCTAAAGAAATTCAATCTTAATGTGTAGTTACAATCTTAAAATAGAAATAAATAACAACATTAGTTTGTTAAGATATTGACTCATTTACTTATCCTAAATTAAAAAAATTAGTCTTGCATAGTTTTTGGAAATAATCTTAATTTCTAAGGTATAGGATTGGATAACAACTCTTCTAACTAAGATGTCAATAAGCCAATAAAATAGGAGCCTTGAAAACTTTTTAAAAAAATTATTATTAGTTAAAAAACTCATGCCAAGATTTTTAAAAAATTACAATCACATGATAACTTTTAATAAGCGTATGGTTCTAAAAAATATGGATTAAGGAGATGCCATGAATTTTGAAGGAGAAATTTTAAGTAACCAACATACAAGTTAATTCACATAAGAAAGCTTTAATAAATATGAATAAGTATTATTAAAAAATACAACAAAAAATATAGCAAATATCAAAACAATAAATCTTTGATTGAAGCTACTTTGCTTTGCTTGTGGAAAAGCTCTTGGATGACAAGAAAAACAATAAAAAATAAATAAATATATATAGATAGAAAAAGAAAAACAAAAAAAAACAAAAAAAAAAAACAAAATAGCAATCATACACACATTGGATAGAGATTGGCTAGATATGTATTAATATATATATATATATATATGGAGAAAGAGGGGAATGTTAAATAGACCCATGCTTTTACTAAATAGACCCACGATTGATGAAGAATACAATAATTACTATGAATAGGGTTGGTTTTTATTGATTACAAACTCAATGGTGGAGAAATGATTCTATAGAAACGTAGGCCGTGTTAATCCCAGATTTAGAAGAGGATTGTTCTGTGGAGACACAACAAATTTACATCTTAAATATTCTTCCACTACTACTGTATATCTGGTTGCAAATAAAGTTTAAAAATTCTCTTCAATAAGAATTAGGCATGGCGTGTTCGGAAGGTGTTTCTTTTTTTTTCATCTCCACAACAGCCGCCTCCTAAGCTGGGTGTGAATTGTGGCCGCATAATTGCCTCAGTGGGTTGTACATGAGTAAGAGATCGGCGTTCTATGCATTAAGAAAACAATAAGTTGGTCATGCCAAGGTGAGGGCTCTGCACACGTTTACCAGCAGCCAAATATTGGTGCCGCCAAACTGTAGCTATAGTCAGCAATTTTGACTGGTAACGCGATCATAGGTGTTTTGCACAGTTGGCTATTTTTTATAAGCGTAATTCATGAAATGATCCTAAACTAAATGTTTCTATCACTAACCCCACATCTGTCTAGACAGAGTTGGAAACAATATTTTCGTGCATGAACCTTTAAATTTATCTCAAACTTGAGATGCAAGTAACCTCGTCACCTTAGCAAAACAATATCGACATAATCCAGGAATTAGAGGAGAAACAATCGACTCGTGAGTAGATTTTCACCAAAATGTTCTGGACAGACGAAAAACAATCATGTATACACCAAATCTGTCGCAACGGATTCTTCCACATATGTCCCTTTCCAAAATATCCTCTTACAAATTTATTTTGGATAGTTACTGCTTACAGTCGATTCACAAGCTGCGTGGGAAAACATGACCTGTGTCTGCACAAATCATATCCTACATGCAAGGTGGTAGCTTCCAATCGGTAGGACAGTCATATTCCGAGAAGCTTTTATATACGCGATTTTCCGAGATTTTCTTTAATATCCATTAGCAGAACATGACATGTATAGCACCATTGTGTTAGCCCGTAACGTTCTCAGTTCTCAATGTCCCTAAAACGTTTAAATTCATTTCATACAGACGTCAGGCTAGATATTAAAGAAAATCTTGTCTTAAAAGCTCGAATCAGAATCGAATCTAGTTTCCATTCCTGATCTCATGGGATATTGTGGTAAATGTCCCTCTAGAGATGGCGTCTGAAGAGATCCTGAATTCAAATTTTCTAAGACAAAGATGAAAAAATCTAGTGGAAGACTTGAGATTTTTACATCAGTCTTCAATGATCTTATGAAGATATTGTGCGGTTCGAGCTGATACAATGCTACTGCTTCGGAATACTCCAGTGACTTATCATCACATCATCATCTTCGAGGATGTCCACCACCGTAGCATAAAATCTTTGTCATATATAATTTCTTTTTCTGCAGGTACTTGTTGGTAAACGTAACCATCGGAGTAATCATGAAT